TGGCATTATTGTTATTTGTGCAAAAATGAATGGAACTGGAAGGGTTCATCTTTTTTGTCGTTTTAAAAAAAATTCACTGACACTATTGTAAAAAAAAAACAGCATCATGTTTCCACCTTTGTGCTCTACAGTAGCCTTAGTACAATGTAGTCATGCAGTGTGGTGGATTTTATATATATATATAAAACTACAGGGTGATTCAAAAAGATTTATTCAATTTCAAAATGATTTATTTCACTTGTAAATCATTAAAGAACAATGCAGTTAACTGTAAATGGTTTAAGGAGCATAAAGTTTATTATGTAATTGTACAAGTGCTCAATATGAACCTCCTCCAGCTGTACAGACAACATCAACGCCATAGCCAAATTCATCCCAGACTCGATTGAGCATGTCGGGTGTCGCTGCACTCACGGCTCTTTCAGTGCGATTCCGGAGATCATCCAGTGTTGTTGGGAGTGGCACATAAAACAGAATCCTTAAAGTACTCCACAAAAAAAAGTCACACGGCGTGAGATCTGGTGATGCTGGTGGCCTTTTCCTTGGAACTGTTGGTACCAACGACGAATGGTTGTAAAATTATGGCGCTTTAAAATTGGATGATTCTTTTTGAATCACCCTATATATAAGCTAAATGTAAAAAGCATATATTGAACAGAAAATTACCATAAAGCCTCAACGAACGAAATGTCAAATCTATATTTTTTCCCTGTATTTTTCAGTATTTAGTGTTACACATCTCCAAACTTTAGTCTAAGGGGTTGGTTGCATTTTCTGTATCTCATAATCCCAGTGTCTGTACACTTTTGTGGTCAGTCAATTGTTCTGAGAACACCAGCAGTTGCTCTGTTTGATTTGCAAATTTTCTTCTTTTTTGTTTCCTTCTCTCAGTGAGGCTTCCTGACAGCTACACATCCTTTCAGACCCATAGCGCTGAGTCGTCTTCTCACAGTGGAAGGATGGACAGAAAAACCTGAGGATGTTTTCAGATCTGAAGCAGCTTGATTTTCTCCTCTCTCTCAAAGATGAAAGCTTTAAGTGCTGTTTATCTGATGGTGACGGTTTTGGTGGGCTAGCAGGTCTTGCACGGTTGTTAAGAGTCTCGTTTTTTGTCCTTCAATCATTTTTTGAACTCAAGTTGTGGAAACTCTTTTTTCCTTTGAATGTCTCCTTCATTATGAAAGTGGATTATCTAACCTTGAAAATTTCAAACCAAAAGAAACAGGACCAAAAGAAATAATTCAAAATGAATGAAATCATTTTATATTAACCTTTTAATGTTTTTTTCTGTCTCTTGTAAAGTTACCATTCCAAAGAAGAGGTTATGTCATGAAAGCGACATGTCCTAAAACTGTATAAAAACAAACCATGTGTGCAAATGGGGGGGCATTTGTGAGGTGGGGGGTGCTTGGGGTGGCGTGGGTGCTGGTGTACAGGGAGGCTGTTTCACAGAGAAAACCGCTCATTGGACTAGCAGATGATTGGTAGCTCCACCATTCTCCTTGTTTCTAGAGCGGCAGTTTAAAATGGGATAATCAGAAGCAGACCCTCTACAGGAGGTGGCAGGCATTTGTACGTGAGAGAGAACAAGAGAGAGAGAGAGAGTCCACGTATATAAAATACAGTTAATAATAACACTAAACAAAACAGGACCTGACTTTCAGCTCAATAGCTCACTCACTAAATGGTAGAAGTCTTTCCACTGACCGAGGTAATGCTTTCTTTAATGACCAGTGGCCATGACCTGTAGCCTATGAGCCGGCTTTGGGTGCCAAGACTGGCACTGGGAGTTTCAAATAATCATTTAGTTTACCTATCTGGATATTTTGGAAAGATGGAAACTATTTTGGACTGTTAAAATTTAGTGTAACTACTTAAAATCACAATTTTGCCTCTGCTGTATTGACTAGACTTGAGGCCAACAGACTGAATCCCAACACATCATCATTAAGTTCTCAGCATGATGTTCAGTGCTTTTTAGAGTGTTTTTGAAAAGTGTGATCACTTCAGGCTGTATTCCTCGAAACCAGACAGGGATGCACTCACTTCCCATCTTGACAGATGGCCCTGCGCTGCCTCGAGGCAAACTATAAACTTTCCAGCTGCTTTCCAGGATATTTCCTTAGGCGAAGGACCATATTCGCTTTCTCTAAAGGCTAAATTACAGCGTTAAACACAGCACAGTGCTCAGCCCTCTTACTGCTCTGCACATGGCAGCAACTCGTCTATAAATGCACTTCTGCTATAAGGCTATGTTCACATTTTAATAAAAATACATCACATTTTCATAAAAATACATTTATTTGCCTAAAACTGACACAGATTTGATTTCTACGAATCTGTGTGAACACAAAAAAATTATATTTTTAAATCAGATTTGAACCACTTTCATATTGGCTATAGATCAAGGTACAGATCTGATACATGGTCCTGCAACCTTAAAGCTGCACTTTGTAAGACACCAAATTTGGGGCAAAATATGTAACAGCATGAAATGTGCAGAAAGACATTGTGTAATGTGGGTTGAATGTGATCTGTGGTGGTTGTGTTTATGAAAGGAGACAGATGGTAGCACTGGAAATTATCTGAGAATAATGGTTAGCCTGGTTTATCAAACAATAGAGAATGAACTTTAAAGCAAAAAAAGACACTTTTAGCAAAGTAATAGGCTAATATTAGTGAATTAGTCTGCTAACGTAAGCTATACATCTAAAACAGCTTCACACTTACCAGGGTACATGCATTATGTTACATTAGTAACGTTAAATTACACAACAGTAATAAGCTAGCTAGCAATCAGCCAACATAATGTATCTGTCCAGCATTAAAAAAGCCAATTTAGCATCACTCCTGAGTCCCTTCAGGTCAGAGAGCTGTTGTCACCTCTGAAAAGCCAAGCAATTGTTTATTCTGGTCTTAGCTCGAGCTCTGTCGCTCTCCTCTTCAGCTTGCCTGCTCTCAGTTCTATGCTCCTTTGCTTTGACCACAGGTGATGCTGCAGAGCATGACTGGGTTTGCTGTTTCGATTTCTCCATATTCAGCGATATCTCTCTTCCGTTCACTAACTTTCAGCACTATGAGCAACGCCCCCAGCAATGTTGCTAAAATACCCGGCCCATGTTGAGCTGGACCTTCTTTTTGGGTCTGTGTGTGTGACGTCAGTACATAAAGACGTCTGACGTGGTTTGCAAAACTCCCGCCAAATCTGACATGACAGCTCTGACTTTTGAATGAACATTTCAGGCTCTACAGCCCCTGTGTCAAACACGAGCCAGATCAGGCCGGCCATACAATCCTATCCGGCTCACAAAAGTATTTTCTATTAATATTAGCCAGTTTCACAGTATGCTGCACTACAGTCCCCAGCATGCACTGCAACGTAAAGTGCTCTGACTTACCTACCCCAACAACAATCTATGGGACACTGGTTACACCTCAGTTCTACACAATTCTGCACAGTTCCACACCAGCCTTACCACCAAACGTACCAGCTGCAGTTCAGCCTATATAAACACTTAACGTCAGCTCAGTAGTTCAGAAATTGAACCCAAGTCTTATTGAACTTGCAGCAAAGAAACAATGCCAGGTGTCTAGTTCAAGCAAATACAAGACCTGAGTCCTCTCTCTTTGAACGGAGAGACCAAAATACTCAAAACTGAAGGTCAAATTATTGTTTAAAAAAACATTTAAAAACACTGGTAAAATACGACAAAGTAAATTGTAGTATTTGGCTCCATAGCGCACAAAAAACGGGTTGCTCTGGCTACTGCGCTTGCGCAGATCTCCACAAGGAGAGGTCTTTCCACGCTCGCGGCGTAACCAGCAAGCTGACTCGTTCTTTTTATCAAAGGGCAGGACTTTCTCTGTAAACAGACGCCATGTTGAGCGTCACCCATTAAACTTTCTCATTGATTTTTATTTAGCGACTGCAGTCTCCTCTACGGAGCCCTGCTGGTGACATCTTGTATAAATAAAAATAATGCGTGGCCACGACTTAATCATCTCATTCCCCTGCCTTACTAAGTCGTGGCCACGCATTAGGATCTCGTTCCCACGTGTTAATAAGGCGTGGCCACGCATTATGTTTATTATGACTTAGTACGGTGTGGGAATGAGATCACGGCTTACTAAGTCGTGGCCATGCATTAGGATCTCATTTCCATGCCTTACTACATGGTGGCCACACCTTAGGATCTCGTTCCCACATTTTACTAAGTCATGGCCATGCATTATTTTTATTTATACAGAATGTCACCAGCGGGGCTCCGTACTCCTCCTTTATAAAGGCTCTGTTGTTACTGTTGCTGGTGTGAGCAGCGATGTTGATTCAACGTCATACGCTGAGCTAGGTGTTGAGAACATAATCCCTTATAGGAATTCCCCGTTAAGGGAATTCTTTTGATAGTAGGACATGAGAAATTCCGAGTTACTAACTTCAGTCAAACGCTGCCATTGTCTTAATGACTGCTTCGTGAACACCACACCACACCAGAATCCCGAGTTTCCCCACTTTGAAAACACGACATTGTCTACAATTTACAAGTACGGAGCCCTGATGATGACATCCTGTATAAATAAAAATAATGCGTGGCGACGCCTTATTAACGCGTGGGAACGAGATCCTAATGCGTGGCCACAGAGTCAGATCTCGTTCCCACACTTTACTGAGTCATGGCCATGACTTAATCATCTCATTCCCACGCCTTACTAAGTCGTGGCCACGCATTATTTTTATTTATACAGGATGTCACCAGCGGGGCTCCGTAACAAGTGCAGCTAACGCTAAATCCCTTTTGAGTGAGTAGGACAGTAGTGTGCCCTACACTGAGGGCGAGGTGCACTGCTCAATTGGGAACCGTACCGCTTTCCCCCGTGCGTGCTTCCGTCAGACGCCAGCGCACATGGCGTGACGTCAGGGCAGAGGCGGAGCCCCGAGCGGTGACACGTCAGAGAGCAGCGGGGCCGAGCTGCTGGGGAACGCTCGAGCTCCGTGTTTGTGTCTGGCGAGTCTCGCCGAAGCATGAGGCTATCGATGCTCATCGCGCTGGTGCGGCCCATGGGGCCGGTGATCGTGGGCATCTCTCTGGGCTTCACCCTCAGCCTGCTGAGCGTCACGTGGGTGGACGAGCCGTGCGACGGCGGTGGCGGCGGCGCGCTCGGAGCCACCGAGGGGATGCTGATGATGGCTCAAGCGGGCAGCCTGAAGGGGGCCCGCAAGCCCAACTCCATATCCACCGGGACGGCGGAGCACGGCGACGCTGGCGGAGAAGATTTCGAGCCCAGGATAGTCCCGTACAACAAACCGGCACAGCAGGGTCCTCCTAAAAAAGTTTTCAGGTATGCGAAGCGCCTCGAGCGCCTCCTCATCCACACCTCGAGTCCTCGGGCTTGTGGTTCGGTTTGGTTCTTTTTTTGGTTTCGTCCACACCCGTCTGCCGACCAAAGCCTGAGCCCACGCCTGAGCTGTGTGCGCTGTCTCTCTTTTTCAGAGGCTTTTTTTGTTCTTCACGCCTTTATAACTGTTTCAATCGCGCCCGTTAGTTATTGCAGACGTTTTAACTGCACCAGCAACCCCCCCACCCCCACCCCGTTCCCCGTTCCCCAGTGTATTGGTTTTTAATACGTTTTGATTCAGAGAGTTTTAATGTCCACTTTTCCTCCTGTTGTTCAGCTCAGCGCTCAGCTGTGCATTAAATAAGATGTTAGGGTTCCCTTTGCCAGCTCTCATATTTCTCCTTGTTTGAGGCACGAGGGACAGTTCAGAACGAGCACTGGTCAGGAGAGCTGCGTGACCATTCCACTCCCACTCCCAGTAGAGACAGAACCTTGATCCTTATCCTCGTTTCTCTCACGCACTGGCCTTCTAATGGTGTCATCGGGTCACATTAAGTGAGCTGTCAGTCATGGCTCAACGGTTTAGCAGTGGAAGCCTCCAACATGTGGTCTAAATATTGGATTCTGTTTACGTGGGCTTAATCAATCACTCTGAGCAGAGAAGAACGTAACAAAGAGACATCTGAGATATCGATCCGGAAGCGCCTGTCAAAATGTAAAAAGTTTTGCCAAAGCTGTTTTGCCAGTAATATGACTCATGCTGTTTGCTAAGAGGAAAAGGCCCATGCATGAAAAGTGTCAGAAAACAATGGGTACAACGTGTCAAAACAAGATAAAATTCCTTGTAATATGCAGAGCTGTTTACTTCCAGTGTACCGTGGGACTCAGTTGTTGCTGATATAACTCTGGAAGTTCGTTACTGTCGGTAGAAGAGAAGCTTTTTTTTTCTCCTTCTGTTTCTGACAGCAGTCTGTTAAAATTTCTTATCTTAATATCTGAAAATATTGACTTACTATGTTAAAATGTTGACTTACTTTCTTGAAATGTTGACATAGGATCTCAAAGTGATGACTTGCTATGTTGAATGTCTACGAAATAAATAATTATTTGGGGATAAAAAGTCATTATTTTGAGATAATAAGCCGAAAGTTCAAGAAAAGAAGTCGTTGTTTGAAGATACCAAGTCAAATTCTGACTTACTGCTGCCAGAAAAATCAGGAATGGGCCTCTATAAATAATTCCAGAAATAATAATTTTTCAGTTTCTGATTTTTTTTTTTTATTATTGGACAGATGATTCAATTTGACCAAATGTTTAGGAGATACTGGTGTTGAAACATTTATTAAAATGCTGTTTGAAAAAAAAAATACAACAGCTGCCCTTTACATTGTGTGAAACATTTTATGATGAATGGACCAAAAGAAAAGGTTCTTTCTATGACTTTTCTATTACTTTGTTAGTTTACATTTTTTTTGTTGTTATTTTTACCCTTTCAGGGCCAAATATGCCAGCACAGAGCTGGGGATCCGTGAACGTCTCTTTGTAGCAGTCATGACATCTAAGAACACCATGAACACACTGGCAGTGGCCGCCAACCGCACACTGAACCACCACCTGGAAGGCCGTCTCATCTTCTTCACCGGCACTCGCAACCGCAAAATCCCACATGGAATGTTTGTGGTCGCCCACGGTGACGAGCGTCCAGTGCTGAACATGTTTCAGACTGTGCATTACCTCCTGGAGCACCACATTACAGAGTACGATTGGTTCTACCTCGTCCAGGACGATACCTACACCCAGCCTGATAGGTTGAAGACGCTGGTGGACCACTTGAGCATGGACCACCAGCTCTACATGGGCCGCCCAGGGGAGTTCATTGGAGGTGAAGCACAGGGGAGGTACTGCCACGGTGAGTCCGGGTTTCTCCTGTCCAGGGCTTTGCTGCTGAAGCTCCGGCCCTTCCTGGAGCAGTGCCGGATGGACATCGTTAGCGTCAGGCCTGACGAGTGGCTGGGACGCTGCATCATTGATTACGCTGGCATTAGCTGTGTGGAGGAACATGAGGTAAGATGGATTGACTAATGTCACTATTGATTATATTAGTAATTGTGTAATCTGGTGATTATTTTGGAGAATAATCAAAGAATCTGTGTTTTCTGTTTGTTTGTGTGTGTGTGTGTGTGTGTGTGTGTAATTTTAAGGCAGTAAAAATAGTTTTCACTGAACAATAACATACGATGCAATGATGCCAAAATACTTAACTGAAAAAATAAAAAAGGCTGTTGAAAATACTTGGTGGTGCAACTGTCCAACCATATATGATGATTAAGTAAATGAATTTAAAAAATGCAATTTAATCCTTAATTTAAACTCAAAATAGAATGGCATGATATTATGTTTGAATACTTTTAAATAAAACCATGTTGCAAAATAAGGTAACTTTAAAAGTACTCAACTCACTGAAAAACCTTTGTCTGCAAGTTCTTACCTCCTCAAATGTCAGGCGGTACAACCTAAAACAAAGGACTTTTATTTTGATGTGCTTTTACAAAAGAGAGGTCAGGCTATTGTGTCATAAAGAAGATCCCAAGTGACCTTTATGGTGCAATGCCAAGGTCAGTAGCCCTTTCACTAATTTTGTAAAAAAATGTAATTTTGGAGTCATGAATGGTTAGAATGGTTCAATTTACCATGTCAGGTGGCATGACCTCAAGAAAACCCTGAAAATGTGTAATAAATGTATACATTTAGGTTTAAGGACAAAGGTGTCTAAGTAGATGCTTGTTTAAGTTGAAATTAGTCTGAAAAGTCAGGTGGCACAACTGACTCTAACCTTAACTGAAACAGGCAATTAAAAGCTCTGATAAACAGTATTTTTCCATATTACTCAAAGTGTTATAATAGCAGGAAGTAAATGACCTATACATTTTACATTTTTTGTGTACTGCCCCCTAACCACCTTTTGAGAATTACACTTTATTTGGTATAATCTTAGACGTCACAGAAATCACATCGATCACATTGATAATCGATCACAGCGAATCATAAGCTACCTTGTGTATAGTAACACTGACGTGGTGGTGGTGTGTTAGTGTGTGTTGTGCTGGTATGAGTGGATCAGACGCAGCAGTGCTGCTGGAGTTTTTAAACACTGTGTCCACTCACTGTCCACTCTATTAGACACACCTGCATTGCTGGTCCACCCTGTAGATGTATATACTATAGCTCATCTGCTGCTGCACAGTTTGTGTTGGTCATCCTCTAGTCCTTCATCAGTGGTCACAGGACACTGCCCACAGGACGCTGTTGACTGGACATTTTTGGTTGGTGGACTATTCTCAGTCCAGCAGTGACACTGAGGAGTTTTAAAACTCCAGCAGCGCTGCTGTGTCTGATCCACTCAGACCAGCACAACACCCACTAACACACCACCACCACGTCAGTGTGACTGCAGTGCTGAGAATGATCCACCACCCAAACAGTACCTCCTCTGTGAGGGTCTATGGGGGTCCTGACCACTGAAGAACAGGGTAAAAGGGGGCTAACAAAGTATGCAGAGAAACAGATGGACTACAGTCTGTAACTGTAGAACTACAAAGTGCACCTATATAGTAAGTGGAGCTGATAAAATGGACACTGAGTGTAGAAAAACGAGGTGGTCATAATGTTATGCCTGATTGGTGTATGTTCTAAGTAATGAGACCAAATCAGAATGGCTCAAATTACTTTCTGGGGTTGAAGTGACTCAGAGTCGTTGGTGACACCCAGAGTTTGTAGCAAGCATTTTGTGGCCAACTCATGAAAATTGGGCTCAACACAGCTCCAGATTTCACAACCAACTTAAGCTGAAAATAACAGAAATTTCCTGAAACTGGAGGCAGCGTGGAGAGACGGTAAATCTTTATTGTTAAATATCAGTAACAGCAATGAGAATGTAGCAAAGTGTGCAGGCTAACTAAAAATAAGCTGATTTTGTTATCTAACAGTTCATCCAGCTTGCTTGCCGTTGTTACATTAATGTTAGCTACCTGCCATCAAATATTTTGCAAGACAGCTACACATTTATTGTTATAACATTTATATGATACAATACACTTTTTTTGAAATTGCTAGTAGTCATTGAGTTTAAGGTGGAATGGGAGAATTTGAACAGGAAGCTGGTGAATTAGAAGCTGATTTCAGCTTCATGTTAACACTATAATTTAAATGCAAAACCTTTGATTAGCTGGCTAACAACCAGAAATCTAAGGTGTAGGCACCTCAGTTTGGTTCAGGCTGGAAAGCGGATAACGAGGATGAACCTGAAGAGAGAGATGTTGAACATGTACCTGGCCTTGTGGCAGCTTCTCAGTAACACTGTCTGTGGTCACATTTGTTAGCCAGCTAACCAAAGGTTTTGCATTTCTACCAGCCATATTGTTACACAAAGCTGAAGGCAGCTTCTAGATCACCGGCTTCTTGTTCGAATTTGGTGCAGCAGTTACAGTCAGTCTGTGCCCACCCATCCAGGTGGTAATGTTTGATGCAGAAGCTGTCAATCAATCTGCTGGGGTCCATGCCTTCACATCAGAATGGTAAAAGGCAAAAAAAGGAAAAACAAAACGCTCCTTTTAATGCCGCTTTTGGGGAAAAAAATGTAAGCTAATTGGAATATATATGAAATTGTTTGTAAAATATTTATTTTTCATAAATTATAAAAAAAAAAACTGATCTAAAATGAGAACAGATATAAACGCAAACGTATATGCAAATACATAAATGCACATTGTGTCCTTTTCAATAAGAATTTAATATTTTATTGACCAGGGTATCTTTTGGTTTGTCCATCTGAATTTACATGACCAAATCGTAAGGCAAATTATTCAGTAACTGCATGAAATAAATGTACATTTTTATTTTATTTATTTGTTTTTGTAAAAGCTCCCCTCAAAAATATTAACAGAACATGTGTTTTATGATCACACATATCGCTATATGCTTACAATTTACTGCTGAAAGCCAAAAATCTTAGATGCTCTTTGTATTATTTTATAAAAATAATTTTTACAGAGCAGATCACTGAAGAGACGCCATCTGTTTATAGTTTATAGCGCAGATTTGTGGAAAAATGGGTCGACTTTCAGTAGACAGAAAAATTCAGCTTCTTTTATTATAAGGGTTTAAAATTACATCACCCATCTATTTGACTGGAAAGAAGACAGTTACAGCTCTCATGCGACCCCCACCTTTTGAATGTAGCTTATGAAATATGAAATATGAAAGTTATGAAGAATATGACGAAGTGCGTTTTGGATCCACTGGTGGTTTCAAGGAGTTGAAAAGGTTAAAAAATTGTACTAAAAATCTTATTTGTCACTGACCCACATATGTGTCATCAGTACTAATACTGATATCGACCTGGTACCATGTTTGTTTACTCGTACTTATAAAAGTTCACCGCTACCTGCTGTGACGTAAGCCGACTGTACGCTGCTGCACTAATGAGCAAACGACTCAAGCTGGCAGTGAAGTGGGCTCTGCTCTCACAGAGAAGAGTTACTGACATGCTTTGGTGAGATCCTGCTGGTGTGGGTTACCTCTCTTTAAGTGATGTTCACCAAAGAGACTTGAGTGCTAACAGCTCACCTTTGGAAAACATTCAGATTGCAAATTAGCTCATCAATCCTGTAAATTTTAATCTATTATTTTTTGTTGTATTTTCCTACCCTTTAAATTCATCTTTTTCATCATCTTCCTTTATGGTCTATTTACACCAAGGAAAACATTTTTAGCCAAAAAAGCATAAGAATCTGAATGTAGTGGGAGCTTCACACCAAATCTGATGCCAAGAAGAAATGGACTCTTGAGAAGCAGCAATGATGAATTCATAATTTTTCTTTCAAGCACTGCAACTAAACGATGCACATACTTAGTTTACGTCATTGTTTTCGAGGCTCTGCTTCTGATGGTTGCTCTACTTGTTTTAAGAAGCATTCATAAGCGAGGGAAGCTAATAGTTTGTAGATATTAATGGGCATGACAGCTATAAAATATATATATATCAGTTATAGGTCTTTCACCTATATATTGGTTTTGCATTTTTACAGTCAACATGTTGCTTGTCGTTTAAGCTTTTGTGCCACATTACAAACAAGATTGACTGTTCTGCCGCCATACTGATATACACGTGTCTGATCTGCAACCATGACAACGGAATTCTGATTGGTCAGCCTAATTTTTTAATGCATCCATACCATGCAGAAAATCAAGCAGTTGTTGCACAGTTGTTGCACAGTTGTTGCACAGTTGTTGCACTGTTGTTGCACTGTTGCACAGCGTTGCAAGCCATCTCTTTGACACTCTGTGAAAGACAGCATAAAAATATATATATTTAAAAAAAACACTTTTTTGTGAACAAAAGCATTAATTTAATATTATTATAAACTATCAATTTTAATTTATTCTAACATTCAAAAATCAATGCGAATGAATCACCATTTTCAGTATTTATGAAAGGTGTAACAGTACAAAAAATTCCAAATTTTCTTTGATACGATACAGAGGTGTGTTAATTCAGTACATTTTTCAATACAGCAAAAATAAGGAGTGGCTGAAAATGTGTCTTGCATTAAAGGGGACTTTCCAAAATTTTCAAAATAATACAATTATTAAGATGTAAACAAAGTCATACAGAATGGTTTGATGTGAAACGCTCAGTTCCACGGTAACGGTCGTGGTGATTGGACCAAGAAGTCTGAAGAGTTTAATGGCTCTAAAAGCTACAGCACAGAAAATGTTTACACAGAATTGCTGAAAATATATTGCTTGAAGGCTGAGATGTTTTTAATGATAGGCCTAGTTTTTAATTTTAGACTTAAACAGGTTTTTAAATTCTTTCATGGCAGGAGAGGTACATACAGGGCAATGTGAGGTCGAAAATGTTTATTTTTCACATTTACCACTATTTTACTCTAACATTACAGATAAAAACTCAAATGTAGGTTCACTTGTCATTTTGTATAGTAAATAAAATATTTTTGTGCTGTAGAGATCACAACCCCCGTCACCACCACTGTAAAGAAATCTGACTTGGTAAGTTTCTTTAGAACAGAGCATTTCACATTAAATCACTTGTCTTTGTGTACATCTCTTAACTATAGAATTATGGAGAAGTTGTGAAAAATCGGTGGAGTTAGTCTTCAATATGTTTCCATTTTCAGTTTATTAGAGTACTCAACATTAATTACAACATAAATGATTGTTACATCCCAAACATTTATTAACTCTTAAGTTTAAGTTGTGCTAGTGTGTGTATAGTGAATGAAATGCCTACACTGCACTGTATCTTCAGAGCCTCCTCTGGCCGGACCAATTACTGAAGCACTTTCAATTCATTCTCTTCATGAGACTCGAATTAGCCATGGCTGAAGTAGCATGTACAGCGGTGTAGAGAAGACGTGAGCTGGACGGGCAGTAGAAGGAGAGCGTGCCTGCTTGTAACCTGGCATAGATCATCCTGCCCAGCTCCAAAAGCAGACCAGTGTAGATAAAGTAAACTTTTCATGTTGCTGGTTTCCCTGAGAGGACGGTGTTTATGTTGGTCACAAGTGACTTCATTTTTCAGCTTCAGCTCTCGGGTGTCAGCAGGAAACCACATTACCCAGGAGTCTCTGCCTCTTATGAGAGGGTGCCCTGTTTCGTGTCGAGATGCAGAAGGGGCACAGAGCTGATCCAGGTGATCAGCGCGGACTGTATTTTGGGCTTCAGTCCCAATTTCTGATACAGATGCGCTTGCTGACACGTAGTCATGTGATTGCGAAACTTCTGAAAAATTGCTTTTCCACGCATTGAGTCACATCCTCGCATTCACAGAACATGTCACGAGATGCACTGCGTTACGAATTGTTTACAGGGTGCTGTATTAAATGGGATTTGACGGTGTTGTGTTGGCTGGCTGCTCAAAGGATTATACCGACTCCACTGCTTTGGCATGGAGGCTTGAACCTTTGTGTTCTAAATAGCTTCCACCATTCGACTTGACTGCACTCTTAAAAATAAGGGTACCTAAAGGGTTCTTTGGAGCGACGCCAAAGAAGAAACAATTGTACTGATTCAAAGAACCCTTTAGTGTGAAGTTTTAAATGTTTTAAGAATGGATTTTTGTAAAACCTTTTTATTTAAAGCTTAAAGAATCTCCACACAATGTAAAGATTCTGTATTAATTAAAACCTTTTCTTAGCGCCATGCATCCAAGCCAAGAACTATTTAGGAACATTTTTATTTATTTTTAAAGACCACATATGCTACAATTTTGTTCTCGGCCTTTTTAAGGTCCACTTATGACATTTGTGAGACTTTAAGTACCAAAAATAGTCATTCATTTTTACATGGCCATCTCTTCTGTTCTTATCCCTTAAAGTTAAACAGGCTGTTTTTGTTACTGTGCCTTTACGACTGACTGATATATCGCTGTTGACCGAAGAAAACCTTGTATCTCCAAAATGGTAACTTTACAGGAGAAGAAAAAAACATACTTTACTTTTAATGTAAGTCAATGGAACCAGAATTCTTTCTAAGTCATTTTGGGCCATTTCTTTTAGTCCATTCATTGTGAAATGTACACACAATCTAATAGGCAACAGGCATTTTCAAATTATGTAAAAAAACTGAAAAATGACAAAAACGAAGATATGAAGTTTTCTTCCGACAGCAGTGATATGTAGATTATCTCTATTCTGATTGGCAGTCCTGACTAAAGCACCCCTTATAACTTCAGCATAAATGGGTAGAGCTAAACTGCTGTAGTCTGAATAGATGGATTTCCTGAATCTCCAAATTGTAAACTCTACAGGTGAACCTTCTTAATTTTCAATGAAAATTAATTTTCAATGAAAATTAAGGTAAAGACGATTGACTAAAAGTAATTTAGGAACATTTTAATTGGTTCATTCATACTACAACAAATTTTATTCAAAAAAGCAAAGTTAGCTTTCCATGACATGGCTCCTTTAATAGTGTAGATGCTCAACATGGCGCAATACCACTTTTTCTTTTCCGGTACTGATACCGAAACCTCGGGTATGGGTCAATACTGATCCGATCGTTTTGTTTTTTAGATAATTTTAACTGAAACACTTTGCTTAGGACAAACATCTAAAGGTAGGCTTGCTCAAATCATCAGGTTTTCTATGTCCTGCTCCTCACTCACATATCAGAGAAAGCGTGGTCTATATCTGCTCAACATGATCTATTCTTATGATATTTATTTTAGGTCTTGATCGTGTGGACAAGACACTACACACTTCATTTCATTAATTTATGGCCGTTATTAAACGAAAAACATTCAGTGATTTTTTTCGTTTATTGTTCATCACGATCTTTCCCTGTAGACATTGTCATATGCCAGTTAGGGAGGCACTGCCCAACCCTACTAAGCTCCACTCGTCATGTTTCACTGTTCATGAGATAACCAATCAAAAAAGTGCAAAAAATATCAGTCATCTCAGTGATGTTTTTAAACATTCAAATAGCAAGAAGTTTCCAATTGTTCTTTTTCTGCTTTCTGTAGAAATGGGGAACAGCATAGAAAAAATAAATGAGTTTAAAGATTAGGGATAAGGTTTAACTTTCAAGTGAACTGTTTTGGGTGGATTCCTGGTGTTTAATCAAAGCATTAATGATTATAAGGTCCGTAATGAACAAGCAAGCCTGGTTCAGTCAAAAACAGTGTTGTTGGCAACATGCAGAAATTGAGTGTCCAAGTCGAGTCTCGTGTCACTGGAGTGCAAGTTTGAATCAAATCTCAAGTCGTAGGGGTACAAGTTCATGTCGAGCCGTGAGTCCAGTTAAGTCAGTGGGGTTTTAGTCGAGTTTTGAGTCTTTGATTGATAATTTTAGTTTAGTTATCAGCTGTCAGCTTTAATAAATGTTGTAGACCTGCAAAAAAAAAAATGATCAAGCTAAACGTCCCATTTTTTTAAATGCAGGAAATGCACTAGTAGATATCCTGAACTAGCTCTCATAGTGAACACACAGCCCTTCACATTTCACCTGTTCATCCATCACGACAAAGACAGATACAGTTTACTGACAGTGATCCCAAACAAGGGTTTGGGATGACCCAATGCAGAATCACTGTTTCTCATTTGGAGAGGCAGCTGTCCATCTTGCAGAGACAGCAGATCACTGGCGGCGGACAGAGAGCCGTCACACTCCAGACAGTCTAAACTTTGTTTATTCCCACACACCGTGACATAAACGCAGTGAACCGAATGCAAGCATCTCATTTTGTTCCCGACCCCTCGCAGAGGTCTGGATCTGAAACTGAGCTTGTGAGCTGGATTACTGTAGCTGACTGACCGGCCCCTGGTGCGAGTCAGCCCGAAGCGAGTGGACTTCCTGCTCTCGGCAGGCTGGCCCGCCGAGAGTCGTTAAGTTAATTAGGGTGATTAGGATGAGACATTTAAAAACAGCATTACTGCTATCTCCAGGGGTTTTACTGACCGGGGCAGTTCTCAGGGCATAGCCATAAACCAACAACGAGACATGTTCCTGTTAGTCAGTAAGGCTGTAATTTAGCACATTGTCGCTGTTAGAAAACCCTGCAATTTTTTTGGTTTGTTTATTATTTTAGATTTTTACACAATTTGAAAATAAGAGCTGTTTTTTTTTTGAGTGAATATTTTATGACGACAAGACCAACTAAAATGTTAAAAATATTCTTAAAAATTATTAAGAATTTTTCCCTCTTCTGTAAAATTACAATTTCAAATATGATTTTTTTTGTTTGTTTTTGTAAGATAGCAATGAATTTAAATCTATGCAGTATAATATTTTTTTAATAAGAGTTTGATATAGACATTAACACTGTTTGTCCTCATAATGTCCTTATAGAGAAACTAATCTGTAAAAAAGGCCAGTACTTTTGAGATGCCACTCATTTATTGTATGTATATTGTATTGTATTATATTGTATTGTGTTGTGTTTATATGTTGTTTTGTATCACAGGGGCTTCATTATAATTACTTTCGAGATGGAGAAGAACGTGGACCTGAATGGAAAGGAGAGCCTGGACTTCCAGAATGCCCTCTCAGTCCATCCAGTGAGCAGCTCAGAGCAGATGTATCAACTGCACAGATACTTCACTGAAAGAGAGCTGCAGAAAACATATGAGGAGATCAAAAAACTACAAGTGAGGAGGACTAGTTCTGTTTCATCTCTCCCTTTATCACTAGCGCTGTCCCTCTTGAGTCATCTTTCTTCTTCTGTCCTTCTGATCCTCCCTTCTGCACTCTCAGCTCTGATTCCTCTCTGTCCCAACCTCTCTGACTTCATCATAAATTCAGTCATGCTTACTTGTCCTGCTCTCTTGCTCCTGTTCTCCTATATGTACACCTATATGAACACTTGCTAGAAAATATACTAGGGCAAGTGTCTAGGTGATCTCCCTACTCTAATACATCTTCTGAAGACTTGGCAGTCAACATATGAGTTGAATCAGGTGTTCTTCAGCAGGGAAATCACAAAAGTGGCCCTTAAAGGCATAAAATTGAATACCCTGGATAAAGCAAGTGGCTCGAGAATCTTGTTTCCACTGTTGGTGTTCAGTTATTGACTGTGTTACTCAAAAGCCTAAATTCCGTCTAGCTAATCAAGTCCAGTTTTCCGTTTCTTGAAGATTATTTCCAAGTTCCGACAGTGGAAACATGGCATCAGTAATGCCTCAGTTCCTCTGATAATTCTTAAATGTTTTGGTTTGTGTTTTCCCCAGGCAGAGATAAAGAACATTAGTCACGTGGCTGTGGACGGAAACAGGAGCGCTGTTTGGCCCGTCGGCATTCCGCCTCCCTTCCAGCCCAAGAGTCGCTTTGAGGTGCTTCGCTGGGACTACTTCACCGAGGAGCAGCTGTTCTCCTGTGCCGATGATTCTCCCAAGTGTCAGCTGAACGGGGCCGACCGCGAGGATGTGGCTGACGTCATCCAGGTGGCCGTAGCAGAGCTGAATAAGAAATACTCTCCTGTGTTACAGCTGAGCGCTCCACGGCTAGTCAACGGTTACCGCCGCTTTGATCCAACACGAGGAATGGAATACACTCTGGACTTGCAGCTTCAGGCCATGACTGAATCAGGCTATGGGCAAGCCATTGAGCATCGCGTCCACCTAGTGCGGCCCCTTAGCCAGGTGGAGATCATCCCCATGCCCTACGTTACTGAGGCCACCCGGGTACACGTGGTCCTTCCACTGACTAGCCCTAATCGACCTGTGGCACTGCACTTCTTGGACCTCTGCGCTTCCAACCTGTTTGAACAGGGCGAGAACGCCGTCCTCACCTTCCTGTTCTTGTATGAGCCTGCCGAAGCCCAGAAGGTGGGCACCACTGACGTATTTGCTGAAGTGAAGGCCAAAGTGGCTGCTGTGGAGCGCCGGTACCCCAACGTGAAGATACCATGGATTAGTGTGAAGACTGAGAATCCAGGCTTCTTGCGTGTCCTGGACATTGTCTCCAGGAAACACCCAGTGGACACACTCTTCCTCCTGGCCACAGCTGACACAGTGCTGAACTCTGAGTTCCTTAACCGCTGTCGGATGAATGCCATCAGCGGCTGGCAGGTCTTCTTCCCAGTCCACTTCCAGGACTTTGACCCTCATGTGGCCTTCCCAAACGGGCCTCCCCAGGCTACTCCAGACCTGGTGCGCGAGGCGGGACACTTTGACCGCTATGCCTTTGAAGAAGCATGCTTCTACAATGCTGACTACATGGCCGCTCGCACGCAGATGACCGCCGACACTCAGGAGAATGAGGAGCTGCTGGAGAACCTAGATGTGTATGACGTTTTTGTGCAGTACTCAGGCCTGCACGTCTTCCGTGCCGTGGAGCCGGCCCTGCGCCAGGCCTACCGCAACCGGACCTGCGACCCGCAGCTTAGTGAGGAAATGTTCCACCGCTGCCTCCAAAGCATCAATGAGGGTATAGGCTCCCGATCCCAGCTAGCCATGCTCATGTTCGAGCAGGAGCAAGGCAACAGCACTTGAGCTCTTTTCAGGAGTTGACAGGGCGGGAATCACAGACTGGCTTTGGGCTAGCGAGTATAACTGCTGCAAGGTTTCTACGAATCATCAGATATGCTAATAAACAGATGCTGGCCGTTCTTTAATGCAAGCCACTCTTCACCCAACCGATGAGCAGGTCAGAACTCTGCATTTGAGGGACTGCTGGAGTTTGAGAGTGTGTGAAAAGGAATGTCTCAGAGGTTCTAGTGGAGGACCTTCTCCATGGTGAACTGGTGACCCTGCCAGCAGTGAGAGGAATGGGGAATTAAACAAAAAATGTTTACAGCAAAACCAGAGACCTCATAAATGGTGGAAGCATCCAGTTCCAAGAATTTCCATAATGCCAGTGTATTTGAATCCACCCACATTAGAAATGTATTCCTGTCTCACACCCATACTTCCTTTTCCTGCTTGCTGTGCTTGTCGGGGGCAACCAGCTGAGTATAGCCTGTGTGCCTTTAAACGTTCTCCTTCACTCCTTCACAGTACCATGTATTTCACGACTTGTAAAGAATCTAAAACAAAAGTATTTTTCAGTGCAGTACTTCAAATTTGTCCATCTGTATGTGTGTGCATGTGTGCGCAGGTCTCATCACTCTAAACTCATGACTTTGTCATGATTTACATAACAAACTTCATAAATGCACACAAGATTTGAATGTATACATATCTGCATGTGTGTGTGCTGCGAGTGCCTCATGCTGACCTCTGTGGTACTGACATACTGATGCTGAATGAGATTAACTGTATTATGTAGGTCAGTATATATCTAAAAAAACATGTACAGTACTGACCACCAAAAGACCACCCTTCATATATTTAATTTCCAGTCACGATGCCCATTAAGTACTGTTAATTTTTCAGTATCAGGAAAAAAAAAAGAAAAAAGTATAATTAAAAGACAATTACACAAAAGCCCCACTAACTAAATATATCAGTTTCTGGGATATTTTTCACATCTCCAGAGTTCAGTCTTGGATGTTGGTTGCGTTTTCTGCTTCTCTCAATTCAAGTACTCTCAAACATATCAATTGATGTTGAGGTCTGGACTCTAGGATGGTCAGTTCATTGTTCTGAGAACACCAGCAGCTTCTTTGATTTGCAAATGTTATTCCTTCAGACTAGGGCTAAAAGATTAGTCATTTTATCTAATCTTTTAGATCATGATCAGGGGTGCCCAATCCTGGTCCTGGAGATCTACCACCCCGTAGAGTTTAGCTCCTAATGTAGCACACCTGATCCAGGTACTGAAAGCCTTTAGAGGCACCTGAGTATTAGAGCTAGCTAAGTGTTTTGGACCTGAGCTCTCCAGCGTGGTAGATCTCCAGAACCAGGATTGAGCATCACGGAGCTACAACAGCGCTTTAAAAATCCCAGACGCTGCAGGCACTGTACAGTCCCTCCTTATGACCATCGTCTGCCAACGTTGATGAAAACTCGTCAGAAAATAAATAAAGAGACAGAGCTGAACGCGTCTGTTGTATCAGGAGGAATAACGTTAGCGCGGTCGGCTAAGCGTTTGGGAAACTGAAACTGGAGCGGCAACACTCTGATAAACAGCACGAAGCGCTGTCACAACATTATAAACGTCACGTTTATCGTGTTTTAGTTTTGTTTCACATTTTTTACCTCAGTAACGACAGATAACGTTAGCTGTCTGGCTAATAAACTCGACTTTTTTGCTTACGTGTTTAAGTTTCAGCTGGGCGCGTATGGTCGGTTGCTAGGCAACAGACGTGACAGTTGATTGTCGACTTCGATCGAGGAAGTTCCTAACTTGAGATGCTAAGATAAGATTCCTACATAAAGATAACATTTGCTTCTACGGAGGTTACAAAAAAAGTTAATGACATTGCGTTCCCTCACAAAAAATTGCGTTCCCTCGCAAAATATATGCTTGTCAGACAGCAAGCAAACGTAGGAACAGAGGTGCCCAGCGACGTTGCCTACATTAGAGCTTTGTTTTCAGCATAGCTAACGTTAAAAGCTGTTTTCCCAGCTTCGCCAGTCTGTGCTGAGTTTATTCAGCACTGTACGAGGACACTCGACCTCAGTCTCAGTTTACAGTCACTATAATCATGTTTGATTTTGAGAAATGACACTGTGTGTTTATATTCCAATCCAAGATCAACGTAAATTCAACGAGCTGCTCCATGTCTGAGCTTAAGCAAAGCACAGCTTTTGCAAGCAATTGCAGACCGTTTGTATCGTAATGCAAAACATTTGCGAGGGAACAGTGTCATTCCATATGCTTCTGCAATACGAGTTTGTGAAAAACCTTATCTTGACCTGCTACATCAAGCCAAAAAATTCTAAGTTTCTGTAATTAAACCCCTGATTTCCTCAGAAATGAATAACTTGTACTTATGGGCTGTTTTGTCTCGAAACTGAATAAATGAAGGGTGGTCTCGGACTTTAGCACAGTACTGTATATATACTGTATGCAGCGTGTAGCCACTGCTGTTGTTGAAGTAGAGAGGACCTTTATTTTTCTAGGACTGACGATGCTGGTGTTAACAGCTGACAGGCCCTGTACATACAAAAGAATAAGAGCGTGTTGACTGTTATTTAACAATAATGATACAGTATGTGCAATATTAAGACCAAATTCTCAGTTTGTTTAATCAGTAGTGTATTTTATGTGCAATACAAAGTTTTATGAATATTCAAATACTTTTAAGATGCTAATTTATAATGGGATTTTTTACATGAACATGGTTTGGGGGAATTAAGCCAGTGTTCCCCAGTAGAACAACGCTAAATGCAAATAGGTATTATATTGAGAGCTCCTTTCAGGGGTTTATAGGCATACAACAGCTATTACCCCTTGTGCATGTAGGTCCTAAAGAAAAACATGCAGCGGTTATAAATGGCTCATTTTTAGCAAAGGCCTTCTCTCCAAACATCTCATCTTCAGCACACACGGTCCTGATGACTGCACTATTACTGGTCTTTCTGATGTAGCTCCACTAGTCTGGGTGGTATGAACCCATGTTATGTGCTACAGAACGTGTATTAGCAGCCTTTCACCTGCCTTCAGTAGTCGCTACATGATATGGGAAGAAATAGTGTAAAGAAATCATTTCACCATGAAAAATACACTGAGATCATATTGTATGTCAAAGACCATGTTAGCATGTTAGAGTCTGGAGAGCGATTTGTTTGACTTGTATTTTATTTGTGATAAAAATATAAATATCACATAAAAGTAACAGATGTGGTTTGTTGTTTTTGTAGTTTTAATACTGGTCACTAGGTGGCAGTAAAAGCAAATAGAACATTTCCCAGGCTTTCCTAGCATAGTTTAGTTTCCTCCATGCAGACAGTGCTCCCTCTGGCTGGTCCAAGACCAGTTACCTTTATTTAGTTTTTACCGTTTCATATAACAAAATTATCTTAAATTCACTACTAATATACACCACAGCTCATCACTGTCCTAAAACGCTTCACAGCTGTGTGGGGCCGTGTGGTGGTCTGGTGCTATTGAGGCTGGATTTACACCTTGGGATTGAGCCATCAACACGTCCTTCAGACCCTGTTGACAATCAGTTCACACCACAGGAAACTGGTGGAAAGCAACAAGCGTCAGTAATGTTACTGTACTAATGCAGCAGGGCAAACTGTTCTTCTTGTTTCTGATTTCTGTACAGCCAAATTAGCCAATACCTGACTTTCATCAGCCCCTTTTTAACCCAAAGCTCGAACAGTGTGGGCTAAACGAGCACATGAAACACATTATCACATTTCAGTACATTCTGTTTGCAAATGTCACAACATAAATAACTTTATTTGCTCTTTAAAGGGCCAACTGGCATTTTAAATGAGTGAAAAATATGCTGCCTGTTACAATAACCTGAATCAGATCATGTGTCAGGGTACAGTCACATGCAAACGTTTGAACACACCTGGTCAGATTACATATTTTCTTGATTTTCTGAGTGAAAATTTGACAGATCCAACTTAATTATGGCTTTTTTATGCAATTTCCACATCACATAGTTTCACATAAATAAATAAAACCTATATCGCTGCTGTCTGCGTTTTTGTCGTTTTCCAGTTTTTGACATAATTTGAAAATACCTGTTACCCTTTACATTGTTTGCAAATTTCATGATGAATGGACCAAAAGAAACGGCCCAAAATGATTGGAAAAAAGTCTGGTTCCGTTGACTTGCATTAAAAGTAAAGCAGGTTTTTCCTTTTCCTGTAAACTTACCATTTTGGAAATACGAGGTTTTCTTCCGACAACAGCGATATGTAAACTAATATCTCTCAATATTTTAAAGGGTCCATATCATATTGAAGACCAAACTTTTCTTGCTTTTTAATAAATAAAAGAATTTGAAATAATATGTAAACATTGCTTCAAAACCGTTCATTCCTTTATATATGGAAAATAAGCTGCAAAAATCCCTTATGAATTTATTGTTTCTGTGTTGTCATTACAATTGGAAATGCTAAATTGCCCCTAGGTGTGAATGTATATGTCTGTGTGTCAGCCCTGTGACGGACTGGCGACCTGTCCAGAGTGTTTCCTGTCTTCCGCCCAATGACTGCTGGGATAGGCTCCAGCTCCCCCCACAACCCAGAAGGATAAGCGGCTTAGAAAATGTGTGTGTGTGTGTGTTGTCATTAGATCGAACTCATTTACATATGTCCACCCTGTCCAGCCTACAGCAGTTTAGCGCCGCACACTCAACTGGAAGTTTTAAGGAGGGTTTCTGCTCTGAACGCTTTCTGAATGAGGCGGAATATGGGACAGCCAATCAGAACAGAGGTCGTTTACATGTATCAATCTTAAAGGCACAGTAGCAAAAACAGCCTGTTTAATTATAAGGGCCAAAGAGAGGTTGAAAAATGGTCATGTCAAAATAAATTAATGAATTATGACTCATGTCTGTCCTAACTTTAAGATAAACCCCAGAGCGTCTTAACTTCTGTATTAACCGTCAGTTTCTCTCGTTTTGTGCAGTGACAGGCAGCACAGTTCACTAATTAATTAACACAGCATAGTGACGCTACAGTGCTAACAGTGCTTTTGACTTGTGAGGTTTTTTTTCTAACAGTATTTTAAAACCCCAGACACTGCAGACTCAATCTCCACCGTCCCCACTTATTACCTTCGTGTGTTAATGTTGATGATGAAATATTACAGTGAGGAGACAGAGCTGAATGTGTGTCTGTTTATTAGGAGGAATAACGTTAGTGCGCTCGGCTAAAGCGTTTGGGGAAATGGAGACTGAAACTGAGGAGCGGCGACGCTCTGATAAACAGCAGGGGGCGCTGACACAACATTATTAACTTTCAGTTTATCGCACTTTAGTTTTATTCGACCTTCTTTACAGTAACGGTTACAGCTTTACAGCTTTATCAGTAACGGTTAGCTGTCTGACTAACAAACTTGATTACGTATTTGTGTTTCAGCTGTGAACGTATGGTCAGTTATTAGGTAAAAGACATGACAGTTGATGGTCGAATTAAGGAAGTTAAGATTTCCTAACTTCACATAAGATAAAATGCTGTAAGATAAAATGCAAAATCAACATTATATTATGAAGATGTGATGACAACAGTGTACACACAATGTGAGTGTATTACAACAGTAATACACTCACATCCTTCAAAAAACACATCCTTCACCAAGTTTTGACTGAGTTCTCTCTTTGAATACTCTTTCAACACGATCACAATCATCAGATTCATACACTCGCGGGGCACAACTAAGGATACAAAATGTTCCTCCACACATTGCATGCAATTACACATTTTCACCAGAGAGGTCTCCAAATCCCCAAATCTTACAAAGTGCCGCCTTAACCCTTTCCTTTTAGACTAGCTCGGGGGCGTCCTCTAGCATTTGACATGCCCAGAAGACATTATTGATCGACAATACTGTTTACTACAAATTCTCTGGTTATAAAGACTCTCAGTGTGTCCCAATTCAGGGGCTGCGTCCTTCGGAGGCTGCGTTTGAAGGCCAATTGTGTCACAGTGGCACGACTAGGCTGTCCATTTCGAATCCTCCTTTATACGCAGCCGAAAAATGTGTCCTTCTTTTCCATGACAACGAAGAATCCGACGGGTGGATCCTTCACCAGCCAACATATCCCGAGGTTCATTGCTTGCTGGTGAGGATTCGAGAACATAGTGTAAGCAGCTGAGGAGACACTTTTAAATATAAGTATAGGGTTTAAACTGAGGCGAGTAGCTAATAACACAAATGTAAATCTCATCAGTAGCCAATGGTGAAGCATCTCCATGTCTAATAATTAAAAAAATAAAACTAAAAATCAAAGTTTCTGGCTCTATTTTTAAAGAACTTAAGAAAAAGAACTTGACAGGAGCGGCGTTTCTTGGTGAGGGCGGGAACAACAGTGCTGTGACGCAAACAGGAAATCCGTCATAGAGCAGATCGTCTCATTTCCGGTTCAGTCTTTGTAGACCTCGTCCTTTGAAGGACACAGCCCCTGAATTGGGACACACTGTCTGTGTTTAGTGAGAATTTCAGCGCCTTCCCGGTCTCGTGCTTAATAGCGTGCCTTGGCAGGGCACTCACGTTAAGACACTCATTATTCGGAGTACCGCAGGTAACATGAGCTGCATCCAAAGCACCTCATGCTACCATATTAAATAGTAGGCCATTTCCTAATGTGTGGTATAGTAGTATGTAGTCTTGGGTGCTGCTATAATTACCTGCAAATAATGTTACAGGCAAATCCATTATGGTTTCATTGAACTGAATTGTTACTTGTCTTCCCATGATGAAATGGAGCGAGTATCCAAATAGTAGTTTTAGTATCTGAATACTAGCACTGTTAACTGAATACTCCAGTACCCATGAACATCCATATTTCACACCTCATTTCCAAGCGTATCTTTAGCAGATGTTACTGATACATAATGCTAGAAAAACAAATGAAATCCAGTAACTAAGACACCTTCCTCACAAGCTTCACAAATGACAGGGGAAAAAAGGCAGTTTATTCATTAATATTTTAATGCGTGTTCCCTATAAAATGGAATTAGAGTGACTTTCACATGTCCTTGGTTATACAAAAAAAGTGAATTGATTTACCATTTTTTGTCTCCTTTCTCATTTGAATAGAGATGACTGTCATGATGGCTGTATTCAGAGGCGATTTTGACCATACAGTGATTTCCCTTGGATTTTTCCACTGGCTGTTATCCGCGCCTGGCTCTCAGAGACAGGCACTGTAGGCTATTGTTCCATTCCCAGAAGCATGAAACAATGGAAAAGTAACATAATATGATTTAGCCGAACACTTCGCCAACTCGGAGAAACAGTGGCATTTTTTCTTTCCGATTGGGTTCGAAAAGAGGACTGTGTGTTTTTTTTTTTTTATCTGTTGAGAAGAATATTTTCTAAATGGTTCCTGGCGTAAAAAAGTCCAGTTCTAGGAGAAAAATAAAACTGTAATTGTTTTAGGATCTTTACATTATGTGGAGGTTCTTGCACATTGCATTTACACAAAGATTCTTTAAATAACCATCCACAGAAAGGTTTTTTTTGGGAACCAAAAATGGCATTTCCAAATAACCCATTTGGAACTTTATATCTTTAAAGGGAAATTCCAATGATTTTTCAAACTTTCTGCATAATTAAATCGTTAAGGTGTAAATAAAGCCATTCAGAGTGGTTTGGTGTGAAATGCTCAATTTTTAGAGAAACTTATCAAGTCAGAATTGTTCACAGTGGTGGTGATAGGAACCAGGTGTCTGCAGAGTTTGTCTTTAAAAGCTACTTCAAAGAAATTATTCCATGAAATGAGTAATGAGATATTTTGAGATAGGATTTTTGACTAAAACACCTTTTTTTAAATCCAAAGAGGTACATGCAGGTCCAAACACATGCACAGATAGACCCCTTTGGGGGCTTGAGCCCCTGTCCCTTTTGTGCTCACCCTGAGTAAGTGCCCTCTTGGTCAGCCTTGGTCAAGCAGAGAATTACAGTCTGTAATTGTAGAACTACAAAGTGCACCTATATAGTAAGTGGAGCTGATAAAATGGACAATGAGTGTAGAAACAAGGAGGTGGTCGTAATGTTATGCCTGATTGGTGTATAGTAGTTGTGTTTAATATGGCCAATCTTGAAGATCGGTTTCAGCAAGGCTCCGTTTAATTTCACCCCAGGAAGAGCTTGTGGCCCTTTTCCCCTTTGAGTGTCTACCCTCTAAAATGTCTTAGCAACGGCCTGTGCAGGGCAAAATAGTCCCTAAAGGAAAGGTTTACCACTAAACTTAATGAGTCTGAATTGTTCACAGCAGTCGTGATGGAAACCAGACATTCAAAGGATTTAATGCCTCTAAAAGCTACATCACAGAAAGTTACTACAGGAATGTTGCATGATGACTGAGATGTTGAGACGTTGGCATAAAACTCTATTTTTTTAAATGCGCTCATGACGGAAAAGTATATTAAGGCAAAATAGTTCCTAAAGTAAACTTTTTTTTTGTATTTAATTATTTTACCATTATTAACATTACATATGGAAAATGAGAAGACACATGTAGGTCACTGGTGATTTTGGGTAGTAAATAAAATGGTTATATTTGTGTGGTGGACGTAGTGACCCCTGGTTCTTATCACCACCACTGTAAAGAAATCAGACTCAGTAAGTTTCTCTACAATACGCCATTCTGCATCAATCCACTCTTAATAATTTTGTTTGCATCTTAACTATTAAAACGTGGTCATTTTGAAAAATCAGTGGAATTTCTTTTTGAGCATATTCACTATGAAATCATCAGCGTCGCTACACTTGTGAACATCTGCTTCCATGAGTGACGTGTCCAGTCTGTGCTCATCGTCTGCCCAGCAGGTGAAAAATAAGAAGAAACTGTGCTTGTGTGAGGTATTGAAGGTGATATGCAGACATGTGTCATGTCCATCACAAGAAGTCCCTCAAAGAAGACTGAACACCTTGTGTCACGTGAGATATTCAAGAATGTAACACCTACACATTGGCTTGCAGTGTAACTGGCACATGTGAAGCACACTGGGCTTGTTCTTCTGGTGCTAATGCAGGATGATGCTAATACCACTGTTTGCTGATGTAGTGGAGCCAGTTTGAGCCGGTTTGACCCACACCTGGACACATGCCAAGCACCCACTGAAAGGGGGCATTCAACGGCATGCGGTCCTCACGGGTTTGACTTTGGCTGCAGCTTTTATAGGTGAGAGATGTAAATGTAGCCTACGAATCAAGTGCATGGTTCCATCCAAGGGCCTAGAGTCCAGTGATAAATTATTGTAGATAGTGAGAAGACTAAGACAAAACTTCTTCTAGCAAGCAAAGTCCTGCTGTACAGCTGCCTGTGTATGGTGGTGGTTTGGCAATATCGAGGCTGGATATACGCCGTGTGCTTGAGCCATCATCACGTCCTTAGGGTCCTGTTGACAAAGAGGTTGCACTTCAGAAAACAGTCAGGACATGGTTGACATCTGCAAAAGCCAGAGACCACCCTTTATTTATTTAATTTTCAGGAAAATGGCCATTAATTAGAAGTTTATTTTTTAGGAGATATTTCGGTAACACTTTCTATGAATGTCACCTTTGCAAGCATCTATAAACACATTTATAACATATTATAATGTATTCATAAGGCATTATAAACATGGTTATAAAAATGTATGTTTAATTATGTTTAAAATGTCTTATGAATGCATTATAACATGTTATTGATGTGTTTATAGATGCTTACAAAGGTGACATTCATAGAAAGTGTTACCGATATTTCTTAGGAGAGTAGATATAATAAATCCACATTCATAAGGAAATGGAAAGTTCCTTAATATTAGAAGATACACTGTTAGAAGTAAAGGTTCTGTGCAGGTACATTTTTTGTTCATCAAGGTACAAACAATGCAGTTGTGGACCTTAAATATGTTTTTCCATGTGAAAAGTACATATTTGTACCTCATCATAATTACTAATGTTTTAAAACAGAACCAAAAATATAAAACCTAGAGACGGGATGTGTGGAGTTAATATAACTTAGAAAATAATAATTTTAATGGATTATGGTACAATTATGTTCCCTGACTAAAGGAACTGAGATGTACCATTGAGGGTTCCACCCCAGTGACAAGCGGGGAACTGATCCAGTGGCAGTTTAGTACCTTTTTCTCTGAGTGCATAGTGAAAGAAGGACTCCAAACAACCATGCAAGACAGACCACCTAAACTGACCCCAACAAATAAACAGGACTAACAGTAGAGAAAGGAGAAAATTCAGCTGCTTCAGATCTGAAAACATCCACAGGTGTTTCTGTCCATCCTTCCACTGTGAGAAGACGACTCAGCGCTATGGGTCTGAAAGGATGTGTAGCTTTTAAGAAGATTTTACTTAGAAAAAGTCCAGATCTCAACAACACTAAATGTGTTCGAAATTACTCAGATAATGAGAAGCAGAAAATGCAACCAACTTTGACTCAACTTTGAAAGTGTGGAAAAATGTCCCTGCAGATTTCTTTGAAAAACTGAAAGCAAATCTCTTGAAAAGAATAGAAGCTGTAATAAAGGCAAAAGGTGGACACACTAAATACTGAAAAATGGATAACTTGTACTTAATGGCCGTTTTGACTGGAAATACAATAAATGAAGGGTGGTCTCTGACTGTGCTGTACATTATTACCATAGAATTTATAAAAATGGAAAAAATTCATGGCTGCTTTTACTGCTTTTACACATGCTTTGTACACATTAGCTTCCGTTACTTGTTGTTAGGCACATTGTGTAGCTCCAGTGCAAAAAAAATCTAACTTCACATGCCAAACATGATTATTTAGATTTGGATTAAAGACAGAACTTCTGCAGTTTGACATGTTGCTGAATTACTGCTTTAGGCTGCTTTTTGGAGAATCTGTGCTTGACTTATTCTGCTTTAGGCAAACGTTCCAATGCCATTTGAATGAAAATATCCACTTTTTACTCTAAGGCATGCAGTTACTTGAAGAAATAAACTTATAAAACTTATAAAATATTCTATTTGAGATTGTAGGGACTGGACTGGTGGAGTAAAGTTTCAAAGACCTGAAAAGAACTATAGTGGAAACGTTGCGACAGTCTATGGTCACATTAATTTGTAATTTGTGAGTCAAAAATGATTTTTTAATTGTAAAACAAACAATCAAGCAAGCAAACAAACAAACAAAGCCTTTGAATAGGGCTGGGCGATAAACGATAACGAATTGCGAATCGCGAATTGATGATACTTTAGGTCAAACAAGACAAAAAAACACCGATTTCAGTTCTAACGTACCTGAAAGGAGGACTTTGTTTGCCTGGTGTGGTTCTTCCACCCCTCAAACTACTATGATAGAATACAGAAATCCAGTACTAAGCTGATGTTGCTGAGAAACTAAACAGTTTAAAACTCGTCACCAGACATCTAAAATGATCTGTTTTCTTTCTTAAATTATGAATATTACAAAAATTGCGGCCGTGCTTTTCCAGCTGGTAAAAACAGCCAACCAGAACCTTTTTCCCACTCTCCCATGACAGATCTGTGAAATGTTCCACTGTTTGGTGAGTGTTTGTCATGTTCTGACCATAAATAGTAGTTTAAAACAACAATCAGCCAACAATCAGGAGCAAAAATCAGCCTTCAAACTAAAAAATAATGCTTTCACATTTATATGTATATGCGATGTGTATCGATATCAACTAATATGAAATTTTGTTTATCGTGAGAACATTTTTGGCCATATCGCCCAGCCCTACCTTTGGAACATAAATAAGTTTAAGTGAAAACGGAATTCTGTTTATTGTTATTTCCCCAAAATTCTGGGTAATTCAATCATGGAAATGTAAACAAAGTCATTCAGGGTGTTTTGCTGGTACAGTGTAGAGAAACAGACTCTTTACTGATTTATTTACAGTGGTGGTGATAATAACCAGTGGTCTACAGCGCAAACATAGCTATTTTATTTGATCTGTCCAAAACAAGTTGTGAACCTACACGTCTTCTGACTTTCGTAAGTATTGTGTATGTATATGAACTTTTCTTTGGCTACTACTTTTCCTTACCTCAACCTACATGTACCTGTCTACAATATATGGATTTTAAAAATGACATTTTAGGCCAAAACCATTGTAACCTATTAAATGCTTGCTTATTAAAGGATGTCTGGTTCCCATCACCACTACTGTGAACAATTCTGACTCAGTTTCTGAAGAACAGAGCAATTCACATCAAACCACTCTAAATGACTTTGTTTACATCTTATCCACTTATTATTTACATAATTATTAATTATGCAAATAATCTGTGGATTTCCCCTTTAAGTACTTTCACTTAAGCAGAACTTTTAAGGCCTGCCTTTCACAGAGGAATTTTCCCAATTCTCTGCTCTTACCTTGGCTTTGACATCCTCTAGTCTGACTGTTGCGATGGTGCTAGCTGCTAGCTGAGCTCTAAGGTTCTGTTCTCGGAGGTTCTTTGTTCCCTGAATCTGGTTCTGAATCTGGTTCCTCTGGTTCTGTTGGTTTTGGTTCTTTTGTGGCCTCAGAAGTCTCTTGAGTCTGTACTTGACAACCTTGGAGTGAGAAAAAATATGACAGTAAGAAAACTGAGATAATCACAAGACCATGCAGAGACCGTACAGGAACTACTACACCAGAAGTAACGTCTCAAGAACAAGTAAAAGTATTTTTTTTTCAGTGCTGATCTTCTCCTTTTTGGACGCTTTTGATCTAAAATAAAATGCTGAAGCTTGAAAGTGAGAGATGTGAGCAATAGCAAGCTAGTTTAGGTGCTGAACCAACAGAATAGAATGAAACTAATGTCTTAAACCACAGGCTTATTATTCAGTTATAAATCCATCCATCATCTAAACCGCTTATCCTTCTGGGTCGCGGTGGGGTGCTGGAGCCTATCCCAGCTGTCATTGGGCGGAAGGCAGGATACACCCTGGACAGGTCGCCAGTCCATCGCAGGGCAGAAAGACAGACATACACAATCACACACACATTCACACCTAGGGGCAATTTAGCATGTCCAATCAGCCTGACTGCATGTCTTTGGACTGTGGGAGGAAACCGGAGTACCCGGAGGAAACCCACACAGACACGGGGAGAACATGCAAACTCCACACAGAAATGACCCTGATCACCCAGCCGGGAATTGAACCCAGGCCATTCTTGCTGTGAGGCGACAGCGCTACCCACTGCGCCACCGCTACCCACTGCGCCACCAGTTCTAAATGAAAACCTAAATTAAAAACTAAAACTAATTGCAGTTATTCAATAGCTGCTACCAAGATAGCATTAGATTAATCATAATTATTTAGTAGCTACTAAGAATTATTTATAAGCTACTAATACAAAAATGCAAGTAATATAAGTTATTACCCACACACTATAAAGTGAGTAGAACTAAAGGATATGGCACAAATCTGGTCCCAGTCTGGCCCAACTACATTATTGGTCCACAATATTCACGCCAGAATTGTCCCACAAATGTAGGCATGAGGCAAAACAGTATGAAGCTGTCCAAGATCTGGCCCTATTCTGGCCCGCATGCATGACATCTACCCAGTAGTCAACCAACACTCACATAGGAAAGCCAGAATCGGCCCAAAGCTTTCTGCTATCTGGGATGCTAAGTTGGTTGCATTTATTAGCATAGAGATCAGTAACTAGGATAGCAGTCAAGATTGGTTGACACCACAGGGATTTCCAATGGTTGCATGATATATTTGCGTAATGAATGCCAGGTGTTGTAGTGAAAGAATGTTCTCGAACAAAAACAATATAAAATTGTCAATTATGTCAATGAAGCATACAATCCTGTGCTACAGAATACTACAAAGCGTGATAAATCACATGAAATTATAGTTTTAAGTCGAAGTGCCCATTCAAATACATGTGCTCACTGGTTACAGCCTACCTCTGTACCACATGCTTTTCATTGGAGTGCAGGAATGATGGATTGTACCTCATAGATGTAATCAAGTATCTCCAATATTGTGAGAATGCTGGCTCCAATAAAGAGCCCCATCTGGCCTCCAATGTCTCCTGAATATCATAAGGACAAAAAGCAGGAAAGTGCTTTGTGAGACTGAAGGCAAAAGCATGTATGTTCTCAACCATTCAGTTTCCGTTCTTTACATGCACTTAGTAAGGCTTCGGTTCAAAGAACCGCATAAGGGGCTGTTTCTTTGAAGGCTTTATAAAAACATAAAAACATCTTGAGCAACATAAAAACATCTTGAGCGAGCATATATGTGACGAACCCTACCTAGCAGCCCGGCTATGTCGTACGCTTTCTTCTGCTCTATCGTCTCGTAGTTCAGAGCTTCAAAGTAGATGTCCAGTATGAGGAAGTTGTCTCTGTAATATCGGAGATAAGTGAGCAAAACAATAGCGACATTCAGTTTCCTGTTGGGCTGACAATATGGAAACAAGCTACTTATTGTTTGTGTTATATGAAAAGGGATTGTCTGTACCAGATACAGGGAGAAAATAATTAGCAGAAACAACATAATCTCATTTAAGGGCAGACTATTTAAAAAAAAGTGCTACTTCATTTGGCTTATGAATGGAGGAGCAAAAATTACATTTTCATTTTCAGTATTGCAATTTTACAAACAATAGTGGAGTAAATTGAGAAGGACATGATGTGATTATCAGAAAGGCTCTAACGGAGAGAAAAACAGCTCACAGTGCTGTGGACATGCTATGCAGGGTTTTGCTTTATTGCATGAAAACACAGTTAATTATTTTCAGGGACGGAGCGTTTCTATCATATTAACCAGCTAGAAGATGAGATGTTTCTATGTGTGCTGCTGAGAGTGAGTCTGAGTCTGTATGCTTGTCTGTATGTGCTTGTCTTTCTATACTTTTGAGGACTGTTGGCTGCTTTCCATAAAACATCTTCAGTAATTATATTAAGCTAAATGCATAAGGGATATACTTACAGCTGTACATTTAGATTTAAATTTTGTATCTGATAAAAACTGCAGTGCTGAATTATGGATTTTTTTCATTTTCCAATTAAGCATTTCTTTAAAGAGCTTTTAAGCAGGTAAAGGGGAATCTTAAAGGGCCCGTGTTCCACATTTTTCTTGATTTTTATGTTCTAGAAAATCACTCAGTAAATCACTTACTCAGTCTCTAACTCACTGACTCAATCACTCTCTCAATCAGTCACTCAATTACTCATTCCCCAATCACACACACACACACATCATCTAAACCGCTTATCCTTCTGGGTCGCGGTGGGGTGCTGGAGCCTATTCCACAATCACTCACTTACCAAATCACTTTCTGATTCACTCACTCACTCACTCACTCACTCACTCACTCACTGTCGGATTCACTCATTCAATCACTAAATCACTAACTCAGTCACTAGCTCACTCTCTCAATCACTCCCTCACCCAGTCACTCAGTTACTCACTGACTCACTCACTCAATCATGCAATCACTCAATCACTTGATCATTCACTCAGTCAATCATGCAGTCACTGAGTAACTCAATCACTCACTGATTCACTCAATCACTCTCTCCATCAGTCACTCAGTTACTCATTCACTCATTCACTCACTCACTCACTCACTTACTCAATCACTCCCCAATCACTCACTCAATAAATCACTTTCTGATTCACTTACTCGATCATGCATTCGCTCCATCACTTGATCATTCACTCAGCCAATCATGCAGTCACTGAGTAACTCAATCACTCACTCATTCACTCGATCACTCTCTCAATCACACATTCATCCAATCACTCTTTCAATCACTTAGTCACTAAATCATTCACTCAGTCACTCACTCAGTCGCTCAGGCACTCAATCACTCAATCACCCACTCAGTCACTCACTCAGTCACTCATACACTAACTCACTCATTCACTCACTCAGTCACTCATTCACTCACTCATTCACTCACTCAGTCACTCATTCAATCAGTCAGTCACTCATTCACTCACTCAATAACTCATTCACTCACTCATTTCCAGCAGGCTAAAGTAGCTTTTATTTCTTTATAAGAGAGCTGACACTGTGTCATAATTAGACAGAAACTCATGTAGAAAAAAGCGTTTGATGAAGTGTTTGCAGTGGAGCACAGTGGAACTGACTGTTAAATAAATTTGCTTCTCTTGCTCTTTTGATTCTCCTGCACAGTTTCACTGCAGCTCTAATCAGGTCCACCTGATTCTCACGTTCACTTTTGACTAAAGAGAACATGTGATGATGTGATGTAAGTAATCAAATCAAATTTGTTGTTAACAAATTTACTTAATTGTCAAATATTGTGAAAATAATACTTTTAGGCTGCAGTGTATGTATGTAGTCATATATAGTCATATACAAAAGTTTAAGCACACTGATCAGATTACATGTTTTGTTGATTTTCTAAGTGAAAGTAACAACACATCCTCTACAGTGAAGACAACAAAATATGGCATTTTTTGGCAAAGTGCACAATGTTTACTTATTTAATATATACTTCTGTTTAACATGTACTTTAAAATATTAAATTTATCATAAAATATTATGTTTTATCATTTTATTTTGTTTCAGTATGTTTAAAAAAATGGTAACACTTTCTATGAATGTCACCTTTGTAAGCATCTATAAACACATTCATAACATGTTATAATGCATTCATAAGACATTATAAACATAGCTATAAATATTTTTAAAAATGCATTACATGTTATAGCCATGTTTATTATGCATTATGAATTGTTAACATAATACATTATAAGTAATGGTCATAACAAATTATAAGTTGTATTTATCCGCTCTAAGTAAAGTGAAGCGTACTGTACTAAAGCCTCCTCCAGTGTTAAGAGTGAGGCTTCAAGTTGAAGTATTTACTGGAGGATTTACTGAAACACTAAAACATACACAATAAAGCACATTACAGGCTTCAAATGTCAGAGTTTAAACTAGTGCTGCCATCAGTGTTTTACCCAAAGTGGGAAAGGTAATGTACACCACCGTTAGTTTGGTATTTGTCTTTACTTTACACTCTCCAAGCTGGGACTTCTTTGGCACTGACATTATAACATGTCATTAACGCTATTTATAATGCATTATATTAACAATTCATAATGTATAATAAACATGGCTATAAAATGTTTTTCGGTGTAATTCTTTTTTATAATTTTTTATAACTATGTTTATAATGCCTTATGAATACATTATAACATGTTATAAATGTGTTTATAGATGCTTACAAAGGTGACATTCATAGAAAGTGTTACCAAAAAATAAAGTAATTATGTAAGCGTGTTCTCTCTCTAAATCAACAAAATCTGTAATTTGACCAGGGTGTGTATGCATTTGTGTGCGTGCGTGTGTGTGTGTGTGTGTGTGCGCGTGTGTGTGTTTGTGTGTGTGTGCGTGTGTGTGTGTGTGTGTGTTTACACCTCACCTGATATACTCCTCGGTTTTGTGGTATTTGCGGGACAGGTAGCGTGCAGACCCTTTGCTGGGGATTTTAACCATAGACAGCTCTTTGCCGTATCGAGTCACGTTACAGGGAGTTTCACATGGACACGAATCTCCTGTGTCCTTCTGCAGCAAAGCTTCATAACAACAAAAAGCATCTGAGACTCTATGTAGTTAAACACATTCAAGAAGAACCTGCTTATAGTCCTGTTCTAATATTCCCACCTGTACATTTTCACAGTAATCATACAGCTATTTCTCAAGATTCTCCCATACCTTAAAAGGAAACTTTTTTCATCATGTGTTTTGCTTTTTCTGATTTGTCTATATAAATCAAAGAAATCACATCTACTTTATATTAATCCCCCTCTTAGTAGTCGCAATATAGCACGCTAATACAGGGAGATTCACTCGAAAGAGGCCCCGAATATTCTGTTGTAACTCCCGTTAGGATGAAGCAATCTGAACCAAAAAATATGCCACATACTTTGACGTATGTGTAATTGATTGCATTACATGCGATGCTGGAAGTGATCTCCATATATGGAAGCTCCATATACTGAGGAACACATTGCACATTGTTTCGGTCAGATTGCTTTGTCCTAGCGAGAGTTATTACAGAATATTCGGGGCCTCTTTCGAGTGAATCTCCCAGTATTACATGCTAGCATGCCATATTTCAATCATTGAGATGTAAAGAAAGTCATTCACGGTTTTTTTTCATGTCAAATGCTCCATTCTAGAGAAATTTAAAGTCAGACTGTTCACAGTGGTGGCAATAGGAACCAGACATCCACCTCTAAAAGTTCCCTCACAGAACGTTGTGACATGAATATGTTGGCTGATGTCTGAGACATTATTTTTATGTGACAGTTTTGAAAAGGATTTGGGTCTAAAACATATTGTGGAGGTGGAGGTGTACGTGCAGGGCGTTGTGAGGCAAACTAGTCCCCAAAGCAAACTTACTTCATCAGATTCAGCACTATTTTACCATCATCAACATTACAAATAAAAGCTCAGACGACACATGTAAGTAAATAAAATCACTACCACTGCAAACAACATCCAGCCAGGCTAAAGTGCAGCCTCCACACTGCAGGGTTAGTTTTAACACAGTGCTTTTGGAAGTTTTTATTTACAGATTAATCAGAAATGTACAATAAATGTCATGTAAATAGAATCATCGTGATATTTGCTGATCTAATTTATGGTCAAAAATACATTTGCCACATTGGACGCCACCTCTGTTCACTAGTAATATGTATTTTGATGCCTATGTTATGCCTTTAGGTTTGAAAGCTCATCTCAAACAACAGCGTTGCACTGAATTGTGTTTTACATTGACTTGATAGATTTTCTGCCAAATGTTACAACCAGCCCCTCTCTCTGTTTCCATCTGTCCCACATATGGGGTAAGCTGTACCTTTTGCACTCACGCTGCTTTTAGCAGAATTTATTCCCAGTAATTTTGCACCATTTCTATTCGACCACTCATCAACAAACAAGGGAAAAATACAGTTAAGAGATTTTTAATATGACGGTGATGAAGGAGATGAGTGGGTGTTGAAACTTATAATTAGGCTAGGCCGTTAGCTTATGTGCTATCAGCTCTGGAGATCAGATGGTAACTCGTAATAAGCGAGGAAATAATAAATGAATCTTTTTTTTTATCTTACCGAGTGCCCTGTCAACACATTTCACTTTAGCTGGTGTGCAGATATCCGCACTTCCTGCAGAGAGAGAGAGAGAGACAGAGAGAGAGAGAGAGAGAGAGAGAGAGAGAGAGAGAGAGAGAGAGATCAGTATGAATAAATAAAAAAGAAGTAAGAAACTGTGGAACAGTGCAGAAAAGCTTGTCAATGGACTATTTTGCAAGTTTATGCTTTTAATGAACACAACGCATGAGAGGGAGTGCCTTCAGCTCGGGACACATCATTTTATACAACAATTGCAAAGTAAAGACAAGAGTACAGCAAAGCCGCTCTAAACCTGGAGCAGCACCAGGCTGACAATTTACAGGCACAGTGCGTTTCACTGAGCGATATCAGTGAGTAGTTGGTTCCCATGGAACATAGAGGAGGAAAAAAAACCCAATGTTTTTCTTCCTCTTTTTTGCCAGCAGCATTTAAAAATTTTGACCAGGTATTTCAAAACAATTATTTTCTCAAAATATTTACTTAGTAGTTCGAAAATAATTCATGTTTTTTCTTGAAATTATTAACTCATCATTTCAACAGTCAACATTTTGAGAGAATGTCATTATTTTGAGATACTAATTCAAACTTTTGAGAAAATGAGACCTTATTTTGAGATACTAAGTAACATTTTGAGAGAATAAGTCATTATTTTGATACACTAGCTCAAAACATTTGATAAAATGAGTCATTGTTTTGAGATACTAAGTAACAATTTGAGATAAAAATGTCATTATTTTGATATACTAATGCAAAATCTTGAGAAAATGAGTAATTATTTTGAGATACTAATTAACATTTTGAGAGAATATGTCATTATTTTGATATACTAACTCAAAATTTCAGAAAATGAGTCATTATTTTGAGATCCTCAAAAGCATTTTGAAACAATTTTTTGGGGACACTAAGTAACAATTTGAGAGAAAAAGTCATTATTTCAACATACTAATTCAAGATTTTGAGAAAATGAGTCATTATTTTGAGATACTAAGTAACATTTTGAGAGAATAAGTTGTTACTTTTATATACTAGCTCAACATTTTGAGACAATGAATCATTATTTTGAGATAAGTAACATTTTGAGAAAATGTCATTATTTTGATATACTAATGCAAAATCTTGAGAAAACGAGTCATTATTTTGATATACTAACTCAAAATTTCAGAAAATGAGTCCTTATTTTGAGATGCTAACTCAAAATTAAAAGAAAAATAAGTCATTTTTTGGGGATATGAAGTAACAATTTGAGAGAAAAAAGTCATTATTTTAACATACTAACTCAAGATTTTGAGAAAACAAGCCATTATTTTGAGTTATTTTAAAGAGCGTAGAAATATACCAACATGGTGTGTCATTGTATATCTATGCTACAAAGGTCCTGTCATTTGGGGCAAAAAGAATGTTGAAGATGGTAACACTTTCTATGAATGTCACCTTTGTAAGCATCTATATACACATTCATAACATGTTATAATGCGTTCATAAGGCATTATAATAAACATTATATAAACATGGCTATAAATATTTATAAAAATGCATTACATGTTATAGCCATGTTTATTATGCATTATGAATTGTTAACATAATACATTATAAGTACTTTTCATAACAAATTATAAGAGTTCATAAGTTGTATTTGTCCGCTCTAAGTAAAGTGAAGCGTACTGTACTAAAGCCTCCTCCAGTGTTCAGTGTGAGGCTTCAAGTTGAAGTATTTACTGAAGAATTTACTGAAACACTAAAACATTCACAGTAAAGCACATTACAGGCTTCAAATGTCAGAGTTTAAACTAGTGCTGCCATCAGTGTTTTACCCAATGTGGGAAAGGTAATGTACACCACCGTTAGTATGTTTTGTGCTTTGTGTTGAGAGTCTTCAGAAAATAAGCCCCAATTTCAGAAAATGTGTGAAAACACTTAAAAAAAAAACAACCTGTAAACATCTTTAGTTAACCCCAGGCCATGGTGGTAGAATGCTTCAGTGCTTTAATCCTTTAAATAGACTCAAGATAATATGATGACTTTTCATTCGTTGCTCACTCTGCTCACTTTTACCTCCCAAAACCATGTTCAGATCTATTTTCTGCCTGAATGTATTGATTTTACCCTTCAAATGGAGTCTGCTCAGGTATAAACCCACAGACATCACTTTAAATCCTTTGCGAAATGTCAAAGCCGGCCATCAATGATCAATCAAACAGAAAAAAAAACATAGTTAATCAGTCTAGTAGCTTGTTCGGTGCTTGTACGGGTGTATCAGACCCAGTGTTGTGGGGTTTGGACAAGTCAGTATCACTGCTAGGCTGAAAGCAGCGAACCACACAAAAATATCCAGCCAAGAGCAGCTCTGTTGTCAGAAACTGACCATTGATAAAGGGCCAGAGCATGATGCACCAGCAAAACACACACCACCATGACACTGCTGCTGGGAATGGTCCACCACCTAAATAATTTCTTCTCAGTGGTCAGCCTGTGTGATCCCTTATCATTGCTGGATGGAGTGGAGGGTGGCTGATGAGCTGTGCAGCAACAGATGAGCTGCAGTCAGTAAACCTAAAAAGTGCACCTACATGGTTGTAGTATCTCTGGTCAAACTACAGTATGGATTCTGTGCTGTCAGGTTCTTTACTTTTATACATTTATATTACACATGTGGTGTTTGGTGAACCCGCAGGGAGTAAAAGTGTGGAGGTGCTGTGTCCTTCACTCTGTTCTCCTCCTACATGGCCTGCTGCTAGTGTGTGTCTGTGTGTGTATGTGTTTGTATATGTGTATATGTGTGTGTGAGGGTGGACAACATGGACAGGCTGCTGACTGGCTACAGCTGCTAAAAGAGAACCCTACGCTGGACACTTGTGATATTTTAAACATCTGGTATTTTTACATGCATTGTTATGGATGTATTTATTTAAAAACCCAATAATGTGGTTGGTCCACCAGACCACTGAGTAACAAACATAGCAACACCACTTGTTTGGGTTTGTGTGTCCGGCAGGTTTCTGAGTGATCATATGTAGCATGTCTTAAATGGTAAGAAGTGTTCGAGCAAACAAGAAGTTATTATTTTGCATGGAAGAATGAAAATATTGATAATTAAATTTGTTGAGGAAAAAAGCCAAAAAAATTCTAAAGTAAAGACAATAACTGTACATTATTGTATATTTTAAATAAATATGTCAATAAATGAATTCTTTGGTGTTATACGTTACCTTTGCCATGGCACATCTCTACCTTAACTGGGAATTGCATGGATTTTTCAAAATTTCTGCATAATTCAATCATTGAGATGTAAAGAAAGTCATTCAGGGTGTTTTCATGTCAAATGCTCCATTCTAGAGAAGTCAGGTTGTTCACAGTGGTGGTGATAGGAACCAGACATCCACCTCTAAAAGCTCCTTCACAGAAAGTTGTGACATGAAACAGTTATGAATATGTTGCCTGATGTCTGAGACACTGTTTTTTATGAAAGTTTTGAGAAGGTTTTGGGTCTCAAACATATTTTTAAAGTTCAGGGTGGAGGGGTACATACGGGCCATTGTAAAGCAAACTAGTCCCCAAAACAAACTTACCTCAGATTTAGCACGATTTAGCACTATGTGATCACTACTTTGCATAAAAACTCAAAAGACACATGTAGGTAAATAAAATGGCTGCATTTGCGATGGAGACATTGCAACCCCTCGTTCCTATCACCACCACTGTAAGGACATCTGAGTCACTAAGTTTCTCAAGAGGGAAACATTTGACATGAAAACACTCTGAATGACTGTTCACGTGTTTTTTTAAAAGAATAGACATAGAATAGAAGGAAATCGGTGGATTCCCACTTTAAGTACCATCCAAGTTGTATTCTCTATTCTTTCCAGAGCATTAGGGGGCGCCCTGAGACTGAACTGCATCACTTCCTTTTACCAGAATGAATGAATAAATGAATTAATCAAAAAATACCCCGTGATGTTGGATATTCTCGGACTCACGCCTGCTCGAGCGGTTGGCCGGGAATCCTGGGTCTACCAAAATTAAGGACTGTGACTCCAAAGGTAAGTGCAAATACATCAACGTTTATTAAGTGAATTACAAAAAGGAAAAAGAAAAACTGCAAGAAAACGAAAAGAGAGTTCTCTCATAGAACAAGTACATAGAACTGTTCAGGACCTCAAACAGCCATTAGCTTGGTCCACTCTCTACTGCCCTGGCTCAACCTCAGCACAGGACCTTTTCGTTTCAAGGTCGAAAGACCGAAGAGACTTCCCTCACACTCTTGTTTCCAAAAAAAGGACCCCCCCCCTCACTGAGCTGACCTCCCTGTGTATTAACCCCACCCCAGGTTAAACCAATTAACACAAAGGGGAACTCAGCAAACATAAAGCAGTGTTTAGGTAATTACTCCCCACCCTGTTTAAAACTGACATATCATCAGATCTGTACACGTTCTACAGGTAAGTATACTTTTACGTGGCTTACAGTAAAAAAAAATCCTTTTTCTTTTCAGGATTGCTGACGATGGGATCACCCCCCCTCTCTCCGTATGGTTGTGGGCCCTTAAAACCTGGATAAAAGAGGATGATAACCTGCGCCGGCAGTTCCCCTAGGAGTCTTGACAGACCACATCAAGAGGTAAGTACTGTTATGTGAACATACATTGCACATGAGTGTATGGCTTCATCACATACCCCCTGGTAATTAGGGATCTTTAAGTGACCACTTAAAGCACACACAGGGAGAAGCAGTCCTAACATGGCTATATAGTCTCTTTTCTCATTTTTTACTGTGCTTTTATGATAACAAGATTATAAAGACATTGTTTTTGTTTTAAAAAAATCCAAAACAGTCAAAAATTTCTAATATTGTGAGTAATTATTTTCATGTTAGACATTGTGACGGTCAATAGATTCATTTACTTAATGATACAATTTCTGTTTCTTAGTTATTTGTTGTTTTATTGTACTCCTATTAACAAACATCAAGGATAAAAATGAGTGTTTATTGACATTTCTAGAACTCATACATTACAGCTCTTTTGCTCAAAAGCTGCT